GCGATTTCCTATACAAACCCATGTTTGTATGTTATAATTTTGTCATAACATCTTAACGAATATAGATTTTTGGCATTTTTCACATTTGTATTCATAAAATTCAGGAAAAGGTGTCACATTATCTCTTTTCGTTTAAATATTTTTTTGACTTTCGCTTGTTCATATACGCAGTGAGTTTTTCGGTTTATACATTAAAAAAAAAAAATTTGAGAAAACACTAGAATTATACCAAAATTTATTGTCGGATTTTTCCCCTTAAAAAGTGACAAAACCCTCATGAGACCAACCCCTTTAGTACAAAAAAAATCGGTGCCCCCTCCCATAATATTTCATATTTGAACGTGAATTACAAAGTTCTTTCTCTTGTACTACTATTCCCAGTAGACCGAAGGAGGCAGTCGTAATCGTGGAAAAGTCGTGGACGAGTTTTTTTACACTACGTGAAAAGTGCAGTCAAGCTTTTACCACGTGTTGTAAAAAAAACCTGTCCATGTTGTAGAAGCTTGGCATCACGTGGTCGATTTGAAATGCACTTGCGGTTAACATAACAGACACTAGAAAGTGTATAAAAAATCACGACTGTCTGGGTTTGCTGGGAAGAGTAGTAAGAGTTAGAAAAAAATCCACCGATGAATTCTTTCTGTTCGATACTACCTTAACAGTTTTCTTTTCTTTTAGATTGCAATGGTATCTCCAGGCATGAGTTGCTGTGAACACACCCTCAACACACTACGATATGCTGACAGGTGAGACGATTTGTATATAATATTCAGCATTGATCCTCAAATAAGCCCCACTTAAGTCGCTGCCCAGGCGACTGTCTAGGCGTTCATTCTAACGATTTTCTCAAAAAATGCTGTCTCGAAACCTTTTCTCCTTTTTTGATATATTATGTGTAAATGCACCGAAGGCAAAAAAATCATTATTATCCCGGGCAAATACATTTATTCACTGAATAAGATTTATCCTTCGGATAGCGCTCTCCAACCCTTGTACAGCTTGGCCCTGGACTGACTAGCCTCATTTACAAGTGAAAACGCTTTTGCGTTTTCACACGAACACGAGGCTAGTCAGTTATTCAAAACGATCGTCATATTTCGATTCGATATATGAGATAGGGAGTTTCGTTAAATTCGGCTTGCATATGAATTGTTTTCGTCTGAACGTTTTCGTTTTCATACAGAGTTAAAGAGCTTGGTCCTGAAAATAAAAGACCAAAGCCATCAGCATCAGATGGAAGACATCTTGATGACGATATCTCTGCATTATCACCTATGGGAGACAAAATTGTGAACAACCAAGACCTGGCCATGCTCTGTACACATACCGTAAGTACACTAAAACTGATGTTGCCTGAGAGATGATAAGATCTATAATAGATTTCTTGGTCTATTGAATCTTCGGCGGCAATAATAACTGGTTATAAATCTATGGTACGTCCTATCATTGATCTGATAAACTTGAAAGAATTCAAAGGAATGTCTCAAGATGGATTTTAGGCAGTTCCATTGAGCACAATGAACGTTTGAAATACCTTGGATGGCCAAGTCTTCACTGTCGTCGTGACTTTCTTAGCTTAGTTCAATTATTTTAGTTTATTAATGGCTTTTCTAAAGTCAAATTACAAGATTACTCAGTATTTTCTAAATGTCGTACTAGGTCTGCTCATGACTACAAAATTTGGACTAACATCTAACCAACTAACATCTATATATATATTCCTTTTGGATTAGGTATATTAACATATGGATCGATCTGCCAGAACAATGATGCCTAGGGCAAACGTCGAACCCTCCATGCATTGGACTTGCTACAAGTCTCGCTCGTTATTTTTCCGTTGGCGAGTCGTCGAATTCAAATTTCGGCACTTCGGGTTCCGACAGATTTCCGAAGGGAATGACCGAAAAAAATGAAAAGCGAGCGAGACTTGTAAAACTCGGCATCTCATTAATATTCGCGGACAGGATTCTGTTCGCTGACGTAATATATCGAATGATTCTTAACCAATGAGGAGCAAGAACATGAGAGACCAAATCTATGTCAGGGGGGAGTCGTATTACACGACTTTATCATTTATCGTCGGCCATTGGTAAAATTTGATTTGGTTCTTGTATTTATTAGTCCAAAAGTTATGGGGGAAAAAGCCATCGATGCAGTTAAGAATGTTCTGTACGATAATTTATGAATATAGTCTCCAACTCCTGCTTTAAGATTTAATCCAAATAACGAGTTTATCCTCTTTACAATTCCGATTCTCTCTCACAACATCCTTTTCTCCAAACACATCTCTCGTGCTCTCACGGCTCTTCTCTCACATGTCACTCAAACTCCCTCCACAGGGAGCCCAGTCCTTATCATTCTCTCACATGTTCTAAAGCTAGGAAATCTTAAAAATTATCAGACGGAAGCTATTAGCAGTCGTCTTGAGTGAAAAGATTGTTTTATTTCGCAGCCAACGGGTTCAGGAAAGTCCACTGTATACATCAGTTATTCCCGTTTGCTTTCGAAGCATTCCAATGTAAAAATGATGTGGATTTTGAATCAAAATCACAAGAGATTATCTTATCCAAGACCACAAAGTGTAAAATTCTCGTCATCCAGCTAGCCTTTGATTTCCTTGATGCGAGATCAGTTGAGAAAATTAGAAAATTTAGGAATCAAATCCTGTCGGCTTCATTTAGATCACCATGAGCCAGTCTTTCTCGCTTTTCTTTTTTTTTTTTCGGCCATTCCCTTCGGAAATCTGTCGGAACCCGAAGTGCCGAAATTTGAATTCGACGACTCGCCAACGGAAAAAATAACGAGCGAGACTTGGAGCAAGTCTATCCATGCATCGAACTTAATTACATCAACGAATGCCGCCTCATTATCACCTGATATCCATTGTTTTTAATGAGTTCGGTGCATTGAAAGTTCGACGTTTGCCCTAGGCCTTAGTTCATAGTAATTCTCTTATATTAAATTCAAGAAAGGTCTTAGAGATTATTTATTCAAGGAGAACTAGTAAATTTTTATCCTATTCATTTTCTTTCTTTTTAACTAGTATTACATTATTTCCATGTTTTTAGTTCCAATAACTTTTAACGATTTTATAATATATTTATATTTTATAGTTTCTTTATCTTTATTAAAATTGTAATCTTTTTTTTTTTTCTTTTCTACCAGAAATTTCATTGTTATTAGTTAGTGGGGGCTGCCATATATGAGGATTCAGTTCTTCCCTGGCAGCACCCTTTCTGCAACTTTTTTTCTATTCATTATTATTTGTTTCTAAAAAAAAATAATAAATAAATCGCAGGGATCCGGGGACCAGTCTCAAGAGCTGTACACATTCCACGACGCCGTGGATCAACTGAATGATATTGAAGACAAGTTGGTCGATGATCACAAGAGTAGTATCGAGGTAAGAACTACAGTTGATATATAAGCCTGCTTTAACACAAACAACGAAATTGTAAACGCAAGCACAAATAATGTTCACGCGTGAAACACAAATGCAAGCTAATTAAGGTACGCATGCGTAGTTGTTATGTATTTTTTTATTTTACTGCTAAGTATTTGTGAATATTCTGACGCTGAAAGGAGGCTATCTGAGTAAACAAGTCTGTAATCAAGAACCACTGCGGTATTATACTTTATTATATAGTTAGAATAGTACGTGCACTCTTATTGGTCGAAAACTGTGCTTTATTAGTAAACGCAGCACAGTGCTGACGTCATCCGCGCGCGCGAGGTTCTGCTAGATCCTGCGACCTTCTTTCTTTTTGCGTAAATAAATTCAATACCGAAATAAAATTGTTAACTTTACAATAAAACGAATAAAACAGCCTTTTCCCTGCTCCGCTCATAAAGCACTTAGGAAGCGCCATAAGCACTCAAAAAGTGTGAGAAAAATTCTCCTACGGCTCGTGCTTCTCCTTACACTTCATTTGTGCCTACGTCACTTCCTGCGTGCTTTATTACTGACAAACATTTTTATATTTTTAAAACTGAAAGAAAAAGAAATTGCGGTGAAATATATTTCTTCAAATTTTCTTATGGCTTTGGTTTATGTTTTCGAAAAGGAACTATTCAAAACAAATCTTATTGATTTTTACGAATGTCCTCTTACATATTTTTTTCTCTTTTCACCAAATAGACGACTACGACACAAAGTTTTAATATTCCGGATTAAAAAAAAATAACCATTTGATTCCTGAGTTATGATTTTTTAAATGAATATTTTGGATGCCATAGCAAGGATTCTGATGTTGCCATAGTATTTTCTTACGTCACTTTTCCATGTTCATTGTGATCTTTGGTTTATGGTATTTTGCTTTCCATTTCCTTATCTTATTATAGCCATATTAATTATTTTAGGTCAGAATTGTGAGTGTATCTGAAGGCAGTATAGTGGTGTACTGACTGCTAAGTAATATATCAAACAAAGAGTATTTCATCCGATTTCCAAACACCGAAAAGTGAGTTTAAAAAAAACAATGGCCACAAAATGGTATCCACAATAGATTTTTCTCTTTTTCACACCGGCTGTCAAATTCTCGTCACTGTCGGTTCCGGCCTTTGCATCCAGGAAGTTGTGAGGAAGATTTGATTATGCACCAATCACTGCCAAGGATTAGGTCATTAGCATTTTAGTTGCTTCTCTTTTACCCTCTGTCTTTTTCCCTCAAACCTCTTGTTTCACTATTTCACATTATTTATAATACAGTTTGAAGTTTGCTGTAAAACGTTAATAAGTAAAGCCTTGTTTACACTAGCGTCGTAATCGTAATCGCAATCGTAAGCAGCTTTAAAACTCCGTCGGCTCCATCGTAACAGGGTCGCAATCGATCGTAAGCTAAGATCAGAAGGTTTTGTCCTTCGTTACGACTACGTCGCGTTGCTATCGAAGGCGAAGTGATTATCGGTGAATATTCACCATAAATATTCACCATAATCACGAGTATGAGGTGAATAATTATTTGAGGATAATTTTATACTAGAATATGATTTTAGGATAATTTTAGACTTGAACAAAGACGAAATTCAGGATTAAAACACTGCTCTGGCAAACTTTGGGAAACCTCATAATCACCTCTCGTTTGTCTCATAATCACTAGTCGCTCGACCAATCACAACGCGAGAAACTATATTCAAGTCTAAAATTAAACTAAACACTAGTAATGACTAGCGGTTACTAGTTGGGGCTGCATTGCTGCGTTAAATACAACAAGCGAAAAAGGAGGGAAAATAAACACGGCGTAAATAAGTTTACTTCTGTACTAACTGTACTGACGTTTCGGACGTTAGGGGTCTTTCGTTTATTATTTATTGGAGGGGGGGGGGGTCAGCAAATTCCATGGAAAGCTTTACAAAAGTATCACCCCCCTCTTTATCACCCTGCAATACTGCTCAACCTCCCTTAATATGCGATATCTCATCCTTACCACTTTCCGGAAATAACGTAACCCTCCCTAATTTTCATTGAAGTAAAATAACGAAAGAACACATATCCAAAATGGCAGTGCAGGTTTCCCCCATTAAGTTTCCTGTTTATTCACTTATCAAATGATATGTTCACGTTGACAGGAAGCAAAAACACTCCTTGCTGAAGAAGAGAAGCTCGTGGAGCGAATCGATAACGATGTGGACTACGACGTTGAAGGTCAGTGTCCATAAATACAAAGTTGACTGCTCTATAGTGAAAAAATAATTACAGATTTAAAACATGTCTTGATAACTTTTTTAGATTACGTAAAACGCTTGGACGACATTCTTGCACAGAAGATCAAGAAGTTCTCAGAGCTCAGAGGTAGTAGCCGATATATATATAGCCTTTTCTTCACCCAGCAATATCAAAAAACGTAGATCGATTTTTGAACATCCCAAAGTCATTTGCACATTATGGCAAATCCATGAGTTTGTTATTGCTACTCCTAAACCATTTACTGTATTTAAAAATAGAAAACCGCGTGTTGCAGCACAGAAAGTAAGTGCGCGAGTGCTTTGTGCTTTTGTAAACGGTATGTGGATTGGGGTGGTAGGAGCAGATTTTATAGCAATTTCGAAGATCAGATGTTGGCTGATTTATACATTATTAGATGTCTTTGTGAATCGCTAGTAAAATTGTCTATTGGGAGACTGGAAAATACCTAACTTTACTTATTTACTTATTTACTTTAAAAGAAAAAGTTGGAATGTTCCGAAAACAATTAGAGGAAGAGGAAATGGCGAGTCGAAACATACGCAAGCTGCCAGGATATTAGGAGTACGATCTGAATTAGAAGATTCTATATAAAGCAGCTGGATATGGGCGCTTAGACCACCTCCTGGAATCAGCAGCAGCAGCACCAGCCGAGTGTTCAAATATTTCTTTAACAAAGAAGTGCATCATTAAGTTTTAAAACAAAGTCGAGTGAATCGTCGTTTTGCTTCAAGATGTTGGATGGGTAAAGCTAGTTCATTTAAGAAATGCCTTTTATTTCAACTTGGGAACATAGGAGTACTAGACAACTAAACATACAAACAAACAAAAAAAAAAAAAAGAAAATCAATGAAAATCACAAATTGGTAAAAAGTAAGATGACGGAGTTCAGTAATCAATCCCCGAAGTGTTAGGAGTCTTTTTTTATTATTGTATGTCTTCTGTATAGAAGTGCAACAAACCTTTGAAAATCATGGTGGCTGTAAGATTTAAGCTTGATATTCACTCGCTTAACACATATTTCAAAGTTGTAATGTTTAGTGACACCTGATTAACAGTAGGCGAATATCCCTGGCTCGGTCGAATTTACAACTTTCATCTGGTTCTCTATAGAGTAAATTTGCATATTTATTTATTTAAAATCAAGATGATAGAATTGAACTTGATTTGAATAGAGCAAGCCGGTACCGCTCGAAACGAGTTACATGATTGGATTAAAAARCAATAGATTGGTCTTCCAAACAATAGCACTAAACCTAACCTTACAAAAGCGGTACTGTAATTAGGGAGCAATGTAAATCCAGCTTTCTAGCGGTACTGGATTACTCTTTGAATAAGCCAGTTCGTAGTTTTAGTATCGTTATCAGTGCGCATTCGCATTATCAATTCGGGATAAAATCGCATGCTCCCTGAAAACGATTCTTAAAGTACGAACTGGCTTATTGTAGTGGTACGCTTCAGCCAGATCGATTCCTTGTTAGAACACTAAGTGTAATCCACATTGTTTTTATTTATGTTTAAATGTGTGTCCAATAAAATAATTACGAGTGTAGAGTGTACTACAGCGACTGATTATTTGTGTTTATTGATTTTCCTTTCACTGCTGAAAATAAAAACAATGAGCTATCCAAACTGGCGATTGTCTCACGGATAATAATAATAATAATTAATATTTATATAGCGCCTATCCAAATCTGCTCTAGGCGCTTTAAACAAAAAGAAAAACCACAAACTGTGGTAGGCTGTGAGCTTTGCTTGGCACTTGTGGCTGCCGCTACATAACCCATACCACAGGATCGGTAACAAAATATTGGAAATGGCGCTGAAGATATATACAGAACGATTTCACATAACCAACGTTTTCCATGCAAATAAAGCAAAACAATCTACATTTCATTTGCATCTGAGTTACTATAGCAACGAAACAGAGACGTCACTGTTTTGAATTAGCAGCAATTTTACACCTTATATTCGATCTAAACTATAAAAATGCCGCACTGGACACTAATCTTGAGGCGTTTGCCTATACTTATACGAAGTTTAGAGAAAATCGTAAAGCCCGATTTTGAGATATTTGAGGCGGAACTTTTACCTTTAAAATTTACAATTTGTTGTTTTTCTTACAATATCTCTGCAAAGGTTAATAACCTATCTAAAAAATCCTCGACAGCCAAAGGTCTCGGGGATATCAGGCTACTTCTCTGCAAAATTTCACGTCATAAAGTGCTTCGGATCCCCAGTCATTAAATAGTTTTTCTCTTTAAGATTCCTGTCCGACAAAATGGACAAATTGCAATTGGCCACTTTAGAAACTAGGTGAGGATTGGGAACCATTTTTTAGAATTAACCAAGTTAAAAATTAAACACCATAAAAAGAAAGAATACGAAGAAATTAGTAAATTTTTGGTGTTTCAAGATTTGGATATCACCATTCGTGTAGCAACCTTCCAAACATCTCGAAGATTAAGAAGAAATGTATGGTTACTGAGGACGTTAATTGTCCCTGTCGAAGTCATACTGAGAAACCTGTTAATTTTGATGTGCTATTTCTCGTCATGGAAAATAAAACTTTTAGAATAAGAATAATTATCAATACCTTCTATATACTCGTCCCCAGCCCTTCATTCTAAGCGAAGATTTCCAATTTTACATGGCCAATAATTTATTTTGGTTAACTATTTCTTCGATTCAGCTATCGAAGCAGATAATTGTTCAGTCATCGAGTCAGAGTGGACTTCACTAATTAGTTAGCATACATACATACA